CTTGCCTCTCCTTTTTCATTACCGCCTCAAGAGAGGGTCAGAGACTGAACTAGAATAGGTGCTAAAGAGAAAGCTGGTTCGCCGCTATCGTTCTTGTCTTCGCCAACTGTAATTGTTGAATCGAACTCGAAGCTTTTGTTAAAATTTGGCGACCGCCCCGAATGCAGGTTTAAACTCGATTCCAGCCGTCGGAAACCTTGGAAAGCTGCTTTTCCTAAAGCTGGTGAATTAACCAAAAAAGACTACAACAAAAACAACAACAACAGTTAGGACAATTGAAATACTTTGACCATCCATACTGTTTCTCTGGTCCCGTATTCCCACTATTCCTCTGGTCTTTGATCCTCTGCTTATCCTTACACCTTTACAACGCCTTAATCATATTTATTTACAGACAGTGCGGGCAAAGCTCGCAGAAGGTTTCTCCTCAAGGGAAAAGCTTTCGATGGTGGTAACCGTCGTCTTTAGAATTGATCAGTATAACACTCCTTTTTATTCGTGTATATGAGAGGCATAAGTAAGATTAATGATGGGTTTCGAAATGAGTGGACTTTAGGAGTCTGGGGTGAGCGTGGATCCCATCAAAGATGACGGACCGATTGCTAACCATAGCAGATCAGTTGGGGAGGACTTTTGTGAGTGGAAGGTTCAAGTCTGTTTCCTGTAATCAAAGGATCATGCCTCTTAGTACAATCACTGTATTACTTTGTGCGCAGTTTATCCACGAGTTCATTAAAAACTCATTTTTATTCCGTTCTCGGCGATCTATTCGAGTCCACCGAATGATTTTCTTTGGAGGAGAGTAGATCGTCAGTGCATGTCCTCCTAAGTAAGTTTTGTGTAAAACCATGTTTGTAAAGTTAAAGGATATCCTGAAAAATCAATTCGTATGACGTTTCGATTTCCATTGGCAGCAGGCTTGTTAGCAGGTGGTATATTATTGCAAAGTTAGCAATTGATCCCTTTCGGTACTATAAGGCCTAAAACGTCGGCAGAAAGGTAATACGGTTTTTTTTTCAGTCGAAACACCCGAATGCACTACTTCATTACGCATACTTCGTTGGGGACGAACATTGATTTAAATTCGCTGGCCAATATTGTTCGCGCGCCGTACGATCGGGATGACACTGAAAAAATACACAGCTCGCGATATCTGGCGGTAAATGAAAATTTACGTTCTACATTGGTGAAACATGGCTTGACGATAAACTATCATCTCACGGTTCTTTTTAAATTTTGACCATCTTGCTGCCACGATATTTTATCCTTAAGTCGTTCTGCTCTTAAATGAAAACTCATGAATAAGTCAATGGGTCACTGGTGATATACCGTATGTATAACATTAAGTAATGCATTGCGTGCTAAATCGTCGAGTAACTACGAGAAAATTGTAGAGCAAGTAATAAGCAGTAGTATAATCGGGATGACGTGTGGATAAAAACACATTGGATGAGTCATAAGCTCCTCGAGTTCATAGGCATCTTCATTATTTTGATTCCTTGTGAGTGGACTAATTGAGACGAGTTTCACCTAATGACAGAGTCTTTTCTTCGGGTGCAACCAAGAGGGATAATCAAAATGCTACCTGGTTTGGCGAGCATATTTCATGCTGCGACTTTCATTCTAGGTGAGTAACGTCATACACTGATCAAAATTATCATCAGAGACAACTTGCTTTGACAACTAACTTGAAGTTTGTTAATCATTTGTTGGAACGTCAAAGAAAAACCAAAGAGACGTCTTTATTTTTTTATACCTTTGTCAAATTTTGTCAAATACCAACAAAACTACATTCGTTTTAAATTAAAAACTCCTTAAAAAAATTAAATATGCAGATACATTAGGAAAATTTTTATGTTTTTATGCATCGGTAATGCCCTTAAAAATCAGTTGATGGCGAAAGGCACCGTCAAAATTTTTGAAAAAGCGATGATAGTTTTTTTCACGATCATGATCAAAGCGGGAATGGTACTAAACCGGAACTTGCAAAAGCATATCAAAAACACCTCTACAAAGTGATTAGCATATACAAGAATTTGTATAAGAGGATACAACNCCCACCCCACACACACACACACACACACACACTCGCCTCCCCTTCACCATTACCACCTCAAGAGAGGATTAGACACTGAATTGGAATAGGTGCTAAAGAGAAAGCTGGTTCGCCGTTATCGTTCTCGTCTTCACCAATTTCATGTCTGTCACTCTTGGATCGAACTCGACCCTTTTGCTAAAATTTAGCCACCACTCGGAATGCAAGCTTAAACTCGATTCCCACCCTCGGAAGACGGTGGAATGCTTAGAAAGCTTCTACTCGCAAAGCTGGCGAGTTAACCATAAAAGACAACAACAGTGGAAACAATTAAAAGATTTTTACCATCTATACCGTTCTCTGGTCCCTATTCCTCTGATCTTCGCTCTTCTACAAATCCATACACCTTTACAACTACATAATCATTATATGCAGATATCGTGGGCAAAGTTCAGAGAAGGTTTCTTCTCATGGGCGAAACACTCGAGGGAGGTAACCGTCATTTTGAGAATTGCTCAGTATAACACTCATTTTTATTCGCGTATACGAGAAGAATAAGAAAGATTATTGGTGGGTTTCGAAATGAGCAGACTTGGGAGTCTGGCCTAAAGCGTGGATCCTATCAAAGATGGCGGACCGATAGTTAAATATTCAGACCAATTGAAGAGCACTTTTGTGAGTTTGAAGGCTCAAAATCTGTCTCCTGGAATCAAAAGATCGTTCCTTTTAGTACAATCACTTTGTAGTACCTTGTGCACAGTTTATCCACCAGTTTTTTAACTGGTAATTCCGTTCTTGGCGATCTCTTTTTTTTTTATTTTTTGGAAAGCAGAGTAGATTTTCTACTCAGTAAATTTTGTGTAAAACCATGCTTGTAAAACGTGTCTGTGCATTCCAGACTAAATTGGAACCAACAACAAACTCGACCTACATAAGGCGTCGACTATAGGATTTGAACCCAGGCCACATTAGTGAAAGATGAGAGCTCCATTGTACCACCTTCGCTCCCCAAAATCCTTCAATATTTCAACAGACTTGACTGCCTAAGTGTTCTCTTTTTTCTAGGCTGGGAAGATTAAGGGCTGTGAACATCTATTAGAGTGGGCTGAACCTGTCAGGAACCATATCTGGCATTGTGCAGAAATTTGTGATGGAGATGTTGAAGAGCTGAAGGTGCAAGTCTTACAATAATTTGACTGTTGGAAACTACATTTCTTTTGGTGACATTAAAAGCAAAACATTTGCTTTGTTTTAATCATTAAGGATATGTGGCTGGGAATCTTGTATACAGGTGATAAAAATATTTTTTTACCCATGTCCTTGTCTTTGCCTTCGAAGAGGTTTCTGGTTACTGGAGGGGTGCATAAGAAAGGAGAAATATTACTTCTGATCTTTTTTTCTAATTTCTCTCTCTCTTGCTAAAATATTGTTGGCAACTTTAATTTTTTTTTTCATCCTGTGTTGAGCTAGTAGTTCTTTATGGGCTAGATGGACAGGATTTATGAGATTTTACAGGGAATTTGGCTGGCTTTTAATCAGTTAAATCATTTTTTAGACATACAAGCAATTTGGAAAACCTCAACTCCATGCTTCTAAAGTATGCACCAAAGAGGATTTCCTTTACGTAAGTAAATTTCACTATTGATTAGACAGTGCTTGTCTTACCTTAAATTATTGAATAGCAGTATTTTCAGCTGCTAGTGCCCTCTCGGGTATTAATAAATGAGCTGTAATATCATGTTTTAGGTATGAAGTTTAACTGGAAGGATTTTACTCGCAGCTTTTGACCACAAATTTCATGTTTTCCGAAAGACACTGGAAGGCCGGTTCAAGAAAATTTATTCGAAGCGATCAGGTAACTGGAGGGTGGAACCGGTGAAGGAATTAAAGCAATATCCTCACATGCCGCTACTCCAGGCAGACATCCTAAGACGCCGCAGTGAAGACACAGAAGCTATAACAAGGCACATTGAAGTTTCCCATGTAATACTGTCCATCTGGCTTCAACAATAGCCCTGAAAAGGGCCCCTTCGACTGAAGAGCTGGCCAAACCCAAATTGTCTCGATTCCAAACAGACAAGAAATTAGGATAGGGGCCACAGAACTTTGCATTATTAATAATGCAATTTGGAATTATTTTGAATAATTAAAAGAGGACGATTATAAGTACTCTTGAATACTGTATATTCTTTGTTTTGCAAGGAAGGGTAGGGAAACTTACAAAAATAAGTAAAGAGTTTATCTCTTACTCCCTTTATTGACAGTCCAGAAGACAAAATACTCAGAGAGGGAGAGAGAGCGCTGGTCCCAAAGGTCTCCAACATAGAGAGAGTTTACTGTAATAAACAGGAACAATGAAGGAAAAGAACTTAACTGCACTTCTGGCCTTATTCATATCAATAATAATAAAGATATTTTACCCATGTAAGAGAACCAAGGACCGTCTGGATTTTCGATTTTGATTCCAATATTTGTTATGGGAACTTGGATTCCAGATTCTTTCAGTTCCATTTTGGTTTCCAAGACCCAGGATTTCAAATTACAAAAATCAACCTTTCAACGATAAGAACGGCGAAAACCCATGTAATTACCGTCTGGTGCGGGATATGCTTGACGAATAGCTAATACCACACAAGAAGGCAATATTTTTCGATCCCCTCTACCAAGTTTACCAAATGTCCACAATGTGTATTGCCGGTAAGCGGCCTTCCTGTAACTTTGAGTAAAGTAATCAGGCTCATCCGCGCGGATGTCGCACCTTGCTCTTATAGCTAATGGCAGCACTTCTCGATCGAGGCAAATCGTGTTAAACATTACATAAGAAGTGACAAATGTCCTCTTTTTACAACAGACGTTTTCCTATTTATCCGGCATTCTTCTACAGACACCACACGTACACCAAATTTCGGGAATATTTACTTCTGTTTGAGGCGATGGCGGGTCGGTGTTATTGCTTCCTGTTAGCATATTCCTAGAAAATTCTAGGCTGCCCCGTCCTTGACTCAACAGCCTAATAAGAAGTTGATCTTTATCGTTCGAGGTTAGTTTGGTCACAAACTCCTGCAAAAAGAAGACAGAAAGGACAGGCTTATAAATGCGGAGAATCATGAGGATGCGCCGGGTTTGAAATAATTTCCAACATGACCGAGGTAAAGTAAGTTAACAAACTTAGAATTTTATAGCGCCGTAAACAAACTTTTCTTTCGCGATGAGAGTTCTCCACAGCTTGTCTGTGGTGGGCAAAAGC